TCTTTACCTACCTACCTACTCTCTCTTTCTTTACCTACCTACCTACTATATTTCTCTCTCTCTCCATTTCTCTCTCTCTATCTCTCTACCTACCAACTTACCTACTCTCTCTCTTCTTACTTATCTACTGTATTTCTCTATCTTTCTATTTCTCTCTCTATCCCTCTACCTACCTCCTACACACACTCTCTCCACCTTTTTCTCTCTCCCTCTTTACCTACCTACCTACTCTCTCTCTCCCTACTTATCTACTGTATTTCTCTCTCTCTCTCTCCCTCTACCTATCTACTTATCTACTCTCTCTCTCTCTCCCTACCTATCTACTGTATTTTTCTATCTTTCCAGCTCTCTCTCTCTATCCCTTTATCTACCTACCTATCTACCTACCTACCTAACTACTCTCTCGCTCTCCCTACCTACTACTGTATTTCTCTCTCTTTCTCTCCCTCTCTATCCCTCTATCTATGTACTTACTTTTTAAAAAAATGCCTCTTCAAAACCTTGGTGCGTCTTATACTCTGGAGCGTCTTATACTCCGAAAAAATGCTAAAAATACGGTAGTTAATACAGTTATAGAATTTATGTTGCCAAGTGATGTGGTTGGAATCAATGATCGTAAGTTGAAGACAGCCTGTATGCAATATTAGGGATGACACTATTGCTGATAAAGGGCAGTTAAAAAAGAAAAGCTTTTATGAAGCTATTTCTCAGCATATTCCTGTAACTTTTTCAAAACTTAATCTGAAAATGGATTTCACAACCATTTTTGTTGGTATGCACTTTTATGATAAAGTTCATTGGATTATTGTATTTGCTCTTTGATAGATATACTACCAGTTATAATCTAATGTTCACTAATGGGTTTTGATGTACACATTTTGCTTGTTGTAACCAGCACTTAAGGATTTGATAGCATACAAAATGAAGGCAATAAATGTTGAAGCACATTTCTGAATATATCTCATCCCAGGTAGTAAAAGCTCTGTATCAGTCTCACAGCGGTATTTTGTTCACCTGATTAAGAAGCCAATAATTTTATATTTTTTAGCAGTGCAAGAATTTTGCTCTAAACCTCCTACCTCCTTCATTGTCCTTGCTGTCAGTACATAAAGTTTCCATGGCGACATCACATCCTGCTCCCCTCCATCCAGGCTGACAAACACAATGCCAGCCATTTTGGTCAAGAGTACATCTTCCATTGCTATTACACAGGCCAGGGCATCCCTCTGTTAAAATAGACAAAAAGGATACTCCATATTATATTGCAAAAATATTTCAATCTAATTAAAATACAAACAGGGGACACTTACTGGGAACAGGCCTTCAGAACAGCACAAATACTGTAATTGCACATGGAGAGTAACAGCAACATTAACTGGGATTCTTATTCTTAACTAAGTGGCATCTTCGATTTGTCTGACACTTTGAGACACCGCTTACCTGTGCAGGCAGGAAATATATCTAAGAAACCACTAAATACCTGCGGGCCAGACAAAATCATATTTTCATTTTCTTTAGTGAATCAGCAGGCAACACCATCACAGCATACAACATAGCCTCAAGATAAACAATAGTGCTTCTATTCTTAAGAATAATGATTTGATATATTTGTATCACAAGTTATTTATGTAGATTTTGTTAAGCTCCTTGTTTTAAAGAAGTATTTCTAAAATTCAAAGGAAGGTATGTTCCTTAGTACTCAATAAAAGAGAATGTTAATTTCATCTGGTCTCAGAGTTGCCGTATATTCATGTGAAATTACAGTGTTTTAAATAATTGCACAAAGTATATGTCAATTTTATGACTATACTTTATGCCAAAAATACATTCCTTTCCACATAATAAGCAAAGCTCAGGAAATAGTGAAGCAGCTTAGCATCTAGTCTAACAAACATTAGGATTCAGGCTGCATACGGATGGGACGGGACCAACAAGATTTCCAACTAAATGTAATAGCTGTGCGTATTTGAGTATTTAGGACGGACAAAATGAAATACCATAAGGACCACAATAAAACATTGATAGACTGAACAAAAACACGGTAGTGACGTGCTTCAAGACAGAGCGGAGAGTGATTATAATTTTTTTGTGACAATCTCCCTAAGGCTTTTGTTCTGTTACCTTTATATCCTATCTTGTCTGCTTTTATGGCCAAGGAGGGAAAATTTGGGAAACAATTAAAATTATTTAATATATCCAAGATCTATTTTTTAAATCTAACATTACATCAAAAACAGTATTTGTCAATTCATATTGATGAAAACCTGGCATGCAGCCAACATGACCTGTATGAGAATGATGACAGTTTATATAAATATAGATGTGTAAAATTCTAGTATTCCTTATCTATGAGTGTTGTAAGACATTCACATAAGCAAATAAAGCAGAACTATAATCACTAGCTACAAATAAGATTTTAGGACTTAATTTTTACTCCATACACGTTAATATATAAGATGTGCTATTTTTTTCCTGACTATATCTCTGGGTTGTAGAACAGGATTCTTTCCAAGGGATTGACAATATTATTGAAAGAATCTGTCCCTATGTCTATTAGACTAAAACAATTATAAATGTATCTCTTTATTTATCTACATTAGTATAAATTAAACAATAATTTAATTGAAATGGAATAACATCTCATGACCAGGTATGATAAAATTATTGTTATGGATGCCATGTAATCCTACCTGGCTGAGATTATATTTGGCCTGCTTTTTCTTTAGCATTTTTGCCACCTGCACATTTTAACTATACACACAGAGGATGTATTTTAGTTTTGAAATATTTTTTACACTTGATTACTACATAGGATACACAGCTTTATCTGTCCTATTATCAAGGTATTGCAGACAATTTGACGGAATTAAGAATAATTCTATGAAAGCCTGGATATTGCCATACTCTAATGAAAAAGCACAAATAAGGAATAGAAGAAAGGCAATCTGGAAAAAAGGGGATCACTGATGATAATAAAAATAAATAAATTAAATAGCCAAACTTCTACCAACAACTGAAGATATGGAAATATTTGCTGTTTAGTGGCTTTAAATCTTGCAAGTAAAATAGATTTCACATATTGCACAGATTTTTTGCAATCTTTCTTTGAAGTAATAAAAGCTTAGTGGTTAATTTTAGTGGAAGTATTCAAAAAATATGTCAAGATATTTGAGTACAAAATTCAGAGTTTTAAGCATTAAATGCCTCCCATTTTTCTTTCATATCAGACCTGAACTCATATTTCTATTATAAATTTCCAGGTCAGGGTGCCTTCTCCTATTTTTTTCATACATGTATAATTGAACATCTGTTCCAACAACAAAGTTGGGACATTTAAAGACACCACAAACAACAAATACTTGTAATCTTCAGTATCTGAGAACATCAAAGTGAATCTATTTATACACATATTGTGAAACTTAACAAACTGCTTAGTAAAAATGTTAACAGATAACAAAAACATTAAGTCTTCTCTTATCCAAGTCATATGGAAAGTAACACGAATGAAATCTGTAATTCAATGAGTATGAATATGTTGCATTTGCCAAGTTTAATGGAATGACCACTATAATATACAGAGATATATGAAGGCATGTAGAGATACATGGAGTCATGTCAAAATATACAGTACCTTTAACTATTTTATCCAAATAGTGAGCTTGAGAATTAAAAAGAAAAAGAACAGACATTTAAGAACAATAATAGATAGAATTTTTCAGAATTCACAAATAGAAAAAGTAGTGATTTTATGAAAAGAGTTGTCCTTCATTTCAGAGCAGTATACTTCTCACTGTAAATAATCATAAAAACATTCAGCAATGTCTAAATTTCAAATATACTGGTATATACCTTTTTACAGCTACATCTATTGAAAAACATGAACAATTTTAATTGTAGTGCACTTACATGTTTTGTGACTTTTGTTGCCAAGGCCAACTGAGAGCCTATATTTCATAGAATTGTACAGTTCTGATATAAAATACTTAATAGACTAGGAAAAGTTTGGTTATATTTCCTTTTCCTTCATAGACATTTACACAAAAGCATGAAAAAGTTATTCTCAGTCTTGTTTTTTCAACAATTGCTATTCAGAAGATTGCCTTTGATTCAGAAAAAAAGTACTTACTCATCATGACCACTAATCAGTTAAAGTGTTGCTCTGAATTTTTTTATTCCTCCTGTAAAATTTTCTAAGTTGGTGGCCATTGATGTATCTTGTAGGAGCATAGTTTTCACTTACTGGGTAAATAATTATTTTCCTGTATTTGTACCAATTTCCCACTATTTAGCTAAATTGGAGCTGAGATTTAGCTTTTGCTATTGAGAAAGAAATTTATCTCTGTTATATCCACACTTGATAATCTCTATCATAGCTTTCCTTAATCATATTTTTATAAATTAAATAATTCTATATGTCCTAATCTTTTTTTGAGAGAAAACTGTTCTATCTAAAACATTCAGATTTTCCTTCTCTACATCTATTTACTCTAATAGCGTATTCATGAAAACTATACCTAGTACTCCAAGTGTGTAGAGGCATTATAGAGCTGTTTAAAGGCATTCCAATTTGATTTTAAGTCCTGCGTTTTTACAATGACTCTTATTACAGAATCCATTGTTTTCATAGCTTTGAGTTATCTACAACAAGCAGCTCAGTAAATCCTTTTTCTGGTCAGTAAATAATTGTTTATATTCCATTGTTGTATATGAGAAATTAAGCTTTTTCTTTATAATCTCCCCAGGTAATCACATTACTTACTTTGAATAATAGCTGCCATTTTCAGTTCGGAAAACAATTCTGCAGCTTTTCCAATTAACATTTTTATTGCTGCCTTCGATAATTTTGTGTGATTCACAAACAGGGGAATTTTACTGCTTACCCCTTTATTCAGGTAATTCATAAATAACTCAGAAAGACCTATTTTCAATATGGATTCTTGGGAGATGGCATTTTTTTACTCCCTCCATTTTGAGAACTGTCAATTTCTGTGAATTATGCAGCTAATTATGCAAAACAAAATACATTATTCTTACTGGGAGTAGTACAGATGAAACTAATTGTTTAAAATTTGAAACTGAGTCAAGGTTTCAGATAAAAGCAATATAATTTTGGCATGAAGCATATTTTCAAAAATTCAAGATGTTTTCAATGGCCAATTACCATTTCACATGGAGCCTAGTGTATTTTTTCACATGTTTGGCAATGGTTAAATAATGGTATGTTGCAATTTACATAGATATAACGGGCCTTATTTTTCAGTTATTATATATTGAATGTAGTTTATATAACTATGCATGATATTGCTTTTTATATTTTGGATATTATTCAATAATCAAAATAATGGATATTAACATCCAGAAATGAAATGATTATCATGAATCAAGTTTATTAAAGTTTCCTAGCCAATTGCCAAAGGATACTATTTGTTAATTACCTGTGTAGCATACAGTCTAGATACCTGATAATCTCAAATTGATTCTGCCCAACCAATTATGTTCTGAGGATGGGTGCATTCCAGTTTCCCTCTATTAAATGTTATTTTGTGACATTGAGGAAGCACTACTTTTCTGATATAACCCCGCACCCTCTGGAAGGACATCTCTCTAGAGATAAGGTGGTCTCCTTTCTCCTAGGGCCCCAAAAATTCTTAAAAGCAGGCATTGGTCCCAGACCTGGGGTTAATGTATTATTGTCTTTTGGGTGGGGGATGGCTGTTTTGCTTTGTTTGTTTTGAATTGCCTTTAGATTGTTTTAGTCTAGGATGTCTGTGTGTTTTTATTTTATCTGTTTTTTATGTAATGTTTTGGTTTATACACTACCTATAGTTCATTGGAGTTGAGCAGCTACAACAAATCTGAATAAACAAACAAACAAAAGATCAAATTCATGTAAAGTATAGCATTTGGCTGCTGTATGAAAACCTGACAAGAAATTCCTGAGGATTTCAAGCTAAGACTGAAAAAAATGATCTCTGTCAACAATGGACAAATAGATTATATTATTTCTCAAATTCGATTCCTATTGTGATTTTACAATTCAGACCTAGGATCTGAATTGATATGATCTTTAAAAATTAATAAAATAATAAAATTTTATGTATTAACAGATTATATACATTGTTATCTTTACTGCATTAGGGAAACATTACTATCCAGTTCAATGACAATCAAATGCAAAACAATGAGTTTATGACCAAAGTTATAAAATTAATGGATCCAATGAAAGGAGAAACGAAAGGGACAGGTGTCTTAAGACTGCCATGAGGATGAAATGCCATATGTAAACAGGAACATGAAAATGCTAAAAGGAACGTGATGGAATAGAAGAAGAATGTTAAACTGCCTACTGAGTCATTACTTCTTTGAAATGTGAAAAGTTCAATTACAGAAACTGATTAATAATACAACACCATATCAAACAATAACTACTTAGGTAAGTTGCCCATAGAAGGACTATGTAATTATTGAAAAGAGGTATTTTTAGTCTCATGGAAAAGGAAACTTTGAACGAAATGCCATGAAGCAAAGGAATTGCAGAACGTGTGCTTTTTGAGAGTAAACATCCCTTTTGGAGTTTTGTAATGGAAACAGTGCTAGAATTGTGCTAAGAAGTAAAAGGCAAAAAAGTATAATGTATTATATATACCATATTTTTTGGAGTATAAGACGCACCAGAGCATAATATACACCAAGGTTTTGAAGAGGCAAATTTTAAAAAAGTAGGTAGGTAGATAGAGGGAGAGAAGAAAGAGAAATACAGTAGTAGGTAGGGAGAGAGCGAGAGTAGTTAGGTAGGTAAGGGATAGAGAGAAAAATAGAGCTAGATAGATAGAGAAATACAGTAGGTAGGTAGGGAGAGAGAGGGAAGATAGGTAGGTAGGTGGAGGAATAGAGAGAAAAATAGAAAGATAGTGAGAAATACAGTCGATAAGTAGGGAGAGAGGGGGTAGGTAGTTTGGTAGGTATAGGGATAGAGAGAGAGAAATAGAGAGAGATATATATATATACAGTAGATAGGTAGGGAGAGAGAGAGAGTAGGTAGGTTGGTAGATAGAGGCTTAGAGAGAAAGAAATAGAGAAAGAGAGAAATGCAGTAGATAAGTAGGGAGAGAGAGAGAGAGTAGGTAGTTACGTAGGTAGATAGGTAGAGGGATAGACACAGAGAGAGAGAGAGGGAGAGGGGGAGAGAGAGAGAGAGGGAGGGAGAGAGAAAGAGAAATACAGTAGGTAGTAGGGAGAGAGACAGTAGGTAGGTAGGTAGGTAGATGTTTCCAGGTGTATTTATCCATATGCTGGAGAAGGAAATCGCTGACAATCTGCAGCATTTAAGACTTTGTTTCTGCTGGCACAGCACTTGATCAGTGCAATTCTTATCAATTTTTCCCCTTTCCGAAAGGGGAAAGGTTTTTGCACTCTGCAAACCTCCTGAAAATAGGGCCGTTAAAAAAAAAGGCATGAATAGACTTGGGGTGGGGCTTGCAGAGTGGGACCAAAAACGGCACATTTTTTGCCCATTTTTGCCCTCTCCAGCCCCCAGGAGCTCTCTTAAAACCGCCATAAGTGTATGCACGGCTATTTTGGTGAAGGGGGTGGGATTTCAGGGGAGAAAAAATGCTGCATTCAGTGTATAAGACGCACTCAGATTTTCAGCCTCTTTTCTGAAGGAAAAAAGGTCCGTCTTATACTCTGAAAAATACGGTACTTCTCAACTTTAAGCATTCCTTCATGAACACCATAAAACTTTACTATAAAAATCAGGTTCATTTCTCTAGATATGAAATGTCTGATAAAATTATAAACATAAATTTTCTGCATCTCAAACCTTGTGTAAAATACACTGAACTGGTTGAAACTGCACACTGACTTGAAACCAATCAGAAACTCTAATTTGAATATTGGGAAAAATGTGGAAATTTACTGATATTTAATCACTATCCATTTATAATAAAATGTAAATAAATAAAATAAAATATTTTTTTTACAATTTTGCTTACAATATGTTGTTATACTAGCACAAAGTTTTCATTTACTAGTAAATTTTATTAAGAGATCTCAGCAAAGGCTTTCTAAAACGGAGGAGTTTTCATTAATCATCAATTAAAGATGTAAATCAATATGCTTGGATCATTAGAGTTACATATGGTAGCTTCAATTGTTATTGAAGTTATAACTTGCAAAGAAGCCTATATTAAATCCATTTATTTCCATCATCTCTTGTTTAAATCAGGGTGAGCTAATGATTTCATGATACTTAATTGGTACTCAGTGCACTGTGTTATTACCTTATGCAGATCATAATAGTGACATTATTTTCAGTGAGAGATAATGCATTCTTATTTATATTGGTGTAATCATACCCATTATAAGATATTTCTATCAAATATAGTATTTCATGTTTAAGGTTAGCTTTAAAAAAACACCTTGTTTTTGCATAAATTTCAACAATAACTGACACTATACTAACAACACTTAAGGAATGGTAAATTAGATTTCCAGGCAATAATTCAACGAACATTCTATAAAAGTCAGTGTTGATCTACCAGTATAAGAATTAATAGCAATAGCAGTTCGACTTATATACCGCTTCATAGGGCTTTCAGCCCTCTCTAAGCGGTTTACAGAGTCAGCATATCACCCACACAGTCTGGGTCCTCATTT